CAGCCTCTGTGTCTGAGTCCTTCCACATCCCAGACCTGTGCCCTGAGAGAAAGCTGGGGAAGATTTTATGGTCCAGGATGGAAGAACCGGCAGTGAGAGGCCGCAGAGTGTTCCATCAGGACACAGGCTTTGCATCCTGGCCTTGCCTCTTACTGGCTCTGTAGCCTTGGGAAGGTCGCTTCCCAGATTCCTCATCTGTCCAATGGGACTCTTAATATCTACGATGATGACGATGATGACGATAAGTACCTCACAGGATTGCTGTGAGGATGCGGTGACACACCTGTGAGGTGTCCACGTGGAGAAAATGCTCTTTCTTTGACAGGGGCCGCATGAGCACCAACTGTTGCCAGGCCCCACCTAGACAGGCCCCACCTCGAGGGGACTTGCTCACTCAGTGTTTGTCCTACAACTGAGAAGAAGAGTTACTTCGTTTTGCTCTCTGAGGACACCCTTCTCCTGGGTTCTGTTTTCTGCTCTAGGGGGTGCTCCAGACACAGACTTGTCTTTCTCAATGTGATCTGTAGGTATCAAAACATTAGCATGGGGGCAGGTTTCCCAGCCCAGTCAAGCTGAAGAGACAGCTCTTGTGGCCTCATTGGCTCAGAAGGTCTGTCAATGTAAGGGCTTTGCTGTCCTGGGATTGGCTGGAGGGGGCGGCGTGGTGAGCCTCCCTCCTTAGAGAGTTCTTCCCATGCATTCCACTTTTTTCTCCAAAGGAAAATAGTGGCCCTTGAGAAGCACACAGTTCATATTTGGCATTGTTGATAGCTGCCTGTGTTTTTAAGGATGATTTCATTTCTCCAGTGACCCCTATAATTCATTCAGCTTCCTATTGGTGCATCTGACTTTTTCTTCAACCCTGCAGAGGTGGTGAAGGAGGGGTAGGAGATTAGAAGCCAGGGCAGTGAGATACACTACCCTGTTATCTGCTCCACGGGGCTGAATGAGGCAGCATGGCAGCTGAAGGGCTGATACCATGAATGCATGTCCCTGGTCCCCAGAGCAATGAGCTGCTGCCCAAGCCTCAGGAAAGAACCGTAGTTCTCCTACTCCTGACTTGAAACCTTATGGAAACTTCTAGAAGCAGCTGAAGAAAATCCAACATCAAATGCAAAACTCCACACTGAGAATACAGGCGATGACCAAAATGCATAATGATTCTTGCTAAGACTTAAATCACAGACTTTTATTACTATCAAGAGAGAAGAAATACTAGAAAAGCCAAAAGCAGTCATCTGCGGGCCGGCTGAGTGCCACGTTGGTTAAGAGCTGGCTTGGGAGGCCAGCTCTGAGCACCAGGCCCCGGTTCGGATCCCACATGAGGGCCAGTGACACTGCGCCCTCTATAGCTAAGATGGTGAACAATAGCTCGACCTGGAGCTGGGCTGCCCTGAGTCGCCTGCGACGGCGTAGGCTGCAGCCTGTGCTACAGTGGGCTGCCATAAGCTACCCTGTGTGGCTGGCAGCCAGCGTGAGTGGCCAGGAGCCAGCGTGAGCTGCTGAGAGCCGCTGTGAGCGGACGTCCAGAGGCCGGCGACCAATTTGCCTCACCCAGGAAGAGCGCAATGATAATACCAACATGGGCCAGAGAAGCAACGTCCTCCACAACTAGACTGAAGAATAAAAGGACAGCAACTTATCTGTTCCCCTTCCCCTGATTCCCCAACGCTGTTCCCCTCCTGCAATTCCCCAATAAAATCTTTAAAAAAAAAAAAAAGCAGTCTGTAAGCTATGGCCCACAAGCCAAATCATCAGTGCTGTTTGCTATGTTTTTAGTGATCTAATTCTTTGTATTTAATTTAATTGACTTTTACATTTTCAAATGGGTAAAAAAAGCAAAAACAGAAAAATGATATTTCATGACATAAAATTATGTGCAATTCAAATTTCAGTGTCCATGATAAAGTTTAATTGGAGCACAGCCATGCTCATTCACTAGCTGCTTTCCCACTGCAATTAAATGAAATACAAAGAATTAGATCACTAAAAAATGCAGAAAGCATTGATGATCTGTATGGACCATAGAGCAATGGAATGAGTCACAAAAGAAAATAGATTTGACAGTATAAAAATTACAACCAGTCTATCCAGAAACCATCAGAAACCAAAATAAAAGACAACCAGCTGGAGAAACGATCTACCACAAATAGGATAAAGGGTTAATGTTATTCATAAATTAAGAGCTCACTCAAGTCATTACAATCAGCACCGAGACTTGAACAGAGAAAGCAAATGCTATAAATGGGCATTTTAGGAAAAAGGAAGATTTTTACTTTTATACCTCCATCTACCATGTTCCAGGAGAGGAAATTGGTCACTGAAAGAAATCGATCAAATCCCAGGAGCAAAACCACAGGGCTCATTAAACTTCTTCGTATTCACTAGAACTTTAGCTGCAGGTTGAACGGGGTGACCTGGGTTGGTTGGCTGGCTCACCTGGGCCAGGTGTCGTGTCTCCAGCCAGTTTGGGAAGCCTCAAGTTTCTGGGCTGATTCTGTCCTTCCAGGGTGGGGCTCCTGGTGAGTCAGCCAGGTGAGATGACTTGTGGATCAGTCCCAAGGATGAGCAATTGGGCAATGACCTAGGATGTCCTGAGAGAGGCTCCATCAGGAAGCAGTGAAGAAGGCATTACTTTCTAGAGTTGGGTGGGACGCAGTAGTTGAGTTCTGCGATAATGGATCTGATGTCTTTCAGAAGAGGAGTTCTTATGTTTGGGGGCTTTCTAAGCGAAACAATTAGCATATCTAAGGGTAGGTAATATCACCACCAAATCTTAAACCTTAAAGGATGAATGGGGACTTTGATTTCCCAAAGTAAAGTCCTGCTCATCCTTGGGGAGATGTCAAAGGTTTGAAGAAGCTCTATCAGTCTCAGATGCCTTTCCTGAGAGCTCTTTGAGGGACAAGGATCTCAGCCAGAATGAAAAGGCACCCCTTCTCTAGCTGCCTCACCCAGCACAGGCCCTGCTGACCTCATTTTTAAAACCTTCCTAGACCATCCCGACTCTTGCCACCTTCTTAGCCTACCTCGTGGATGGAGAAGAGCGCTCAGACACTCACACCAGCACGTCCTGCCTACAAGGGAGAGGAATAAAGCTGGACATGAATATGCTAGTGTCCAGCTGGTATAAACACCGTGCCAGAGCCTGGCTGTCTCACCACCAATGTCAGTCTGGGAAGTGTTACATGGGGGCTTGGCTCCTGGTGGACCCTCCACCTTGTAGCCCACCATTTATATGACTTGCCCAACACCTGTCATAGGTGAAACTGTGGATTTTAGAACATTCTGCAACTCATAACACATTGAGAGAATGCATGACATCCGGTGTGCGTGTGGTCCACGAGTTGCCCATGGTAGACATTATTAATTGATCACCGAAACCAGAGAGTTAGATGCAGGGGAGGCAGGAAGAAGAAAGGTCCCAATCCACTCCAGTTCATGTCATCAGCTCTGCCCGTCACAACTCACCCAGTGCCACCACTCCTGTGTGCCACTGGAAAACAGTTCATGAGATGAAAACAGAAACATAAGGAGGTAACTGTTAAGAAATTATAAAGGAAAATAATGAAAATAATAAAATAAAAAAATAAAAATAAAATAAAATTTAAAAAATAATAAGGAAAATTAAAAACTAAATTTAGATTAAAATTATGAAAAATTATAAAAGTTACAAATATAAAAGGAAAGAATTTTTTAAAAAGGTACCTTAAAAGGCTAGAAAGATAGAGGATAACATAGGGAAATATATTTTAAAGGAATTTCAAAAGGTTAAAAATAACCAAATGACCTACTTATAACTCTCCTAGAAGACTAAAATTATGTCCAAAAAAGGTAAAGCATTAATTAAATGAACACAGTATAAGGATGTAAATACATACAAGTACAATAAATCAAACGTAAATAAATATACGTAAGAAACAAATACGTGTAAAATAAAATGTAGACGCTGAGATTTTTAAAGGGTAAGAAGTAAAAACCAAGACCAAAAATTACAAAAGTTTGAAGGGAGGAGGTGAAGCAGCTAGAATAGAGGAGTTTCAAAGATAAAAATAAAGTAAAAAAATAAATACTGTGAGACAGAACATTTTAAAGGAAGACACCGAAGTGAAAGGACACTCACATCACAGAGATAGAATGGGAAATAATGGAATAATCCAAAGCAGCGTGAGTGAACCAGAGCAACACGGCTACTCAAAAGTCCAGGCATTCAAAGTCAGGAGTTATTTTTAAAATAAAGAAATAGTCTCAATAAAAGGAAGGATGACGTACCGGTAAAGATCGTTTCTACTGGGCCCTGTTGAGCTGAAGCAGACGAGCTGGGGCTTTTGGGGGGAGGGGGTATACACTGCTCTTCAGCTCCAAAGCCTCGCGCCCCCTTCCGCGCCCCCTCTGCCCGTCCTCGGAATGCACACCTGAGGGTCCTGGTGGGTGCCAGTGAGGTCAGTGGAGGACACAGCCCTAACCTTTGGGGGGCCAGCCGACTGGAGCTGGGGGAGTCAGGACACCGGTCAGGAGTTGGTTCCGCTGTGCAGTTACCCCTGAGTAAACAGTCACATGCTGTTCTGTGCCTCATTTTCCTTTCTGGGAGTGCCTGCTGTTGCCTGCCCTCCTACCATCACCTTTTATAACAAATTAAAAAAAAAAAAAAAGAAAGCCATCAAGCTCCCAGTCAGCCGCATTTACTTTTTAATGAAGTGGAAAGAGCACTGGGCTTAGTAACCAGTCAGCCACGGAGCCTGCCCACCTGGTGGTGTTGAATAGGAACTGACTCGATGTCAGTGAACTAAAAGTGCACACGCATAAATAACACTGGCAGGAATACAGAGCTCAGGATAAGCTTGGGCGTCTGGTTGTTGGGGAGGGAAGTGGGGAGGTGGAGATCTGTCTGCCATGAACTGGGGAAGTGGCACCTCGCTGTCCTGGCTTCCACTCCCCTCCCCCAAGCACTTACCCTCATCTCAGCATCCCAGCCTCAACCTCCCATCTTCCTTCCTCAGGGGCCTTGAACCAGGATGGCTGAGCCCCGCCAGGAGTTCAACATGATGGAAGATCATGCTGGGACATACGGGCTGGGGGACAGGAAAGATCTCGCCTCTCAGGGGGGCTACAACGTCCTGCAGGACCACGAGGCCGATGTGGACCACGGTCTGAAAGGTTAGTGCGCAGCCCGCCTTGGGAATCACAGCCAACCCGCTTGCTTTGGAAAGGATTGGCAGGAAGGGTTCGAATTCAGATTTTTAAAGGAGTTTTTACGTATTTTATTGGGTTAGATTGTCAATAGAGCGAAACCTCATCATTTGAATGGATCCAGATACGCAAAATGTGAGGCTATTTGAAAATGTCCCTTTCCAAAGGAGAGTTTGCCACATGAGTGGACGCAGTGTGACGAAGCCTGCAGGGGCTTGTCGGTCTGATGAATACAGGGCGCTGTCTTGAGTCTTTAGCCACACCTGTTCATCTATAAATCAGTGGTATTCGTCAGCCCTATTTGGCTAGTTGGTTAGCTCTGGGATTCCTACTACTGTACCTACATGAATAAGTTGCATTAACTTATAAATATTCTAAAATGCAGTCTTTTGGCCAAATTAGCTTGGCCTCCTCCTCTCCCCTTCCAAATGAATATGTCTTCTTTCATGGCCTGACCAAGTTGCGGGAGCACAAAGAACCCTCCCTTCTGCTCCGAGTGCTGGATTCGCTCACGCCAGGAGCTCCAAGCCGGCCCCTGTGCAGGAAGGCCTCCATCCCTGCCCTCCAGGCCCTTTGCTAAGGAGACAAAATAGCAAACAGTCTACTTTCCCTTTTAATGCTAAAAATGATACAAACACTTTGCAGCCTGGGAGGGTGGGTGAGTGGGTGGAAGTGGTGGAGCGCCAAGGTGGGAAGGGACCTCTTTTGGTCCCCTGGGTGTGGGAACACAAGGAGCAATCGCCCCTCCCTTGGAGAGGTTTCAGGACTCAGTGGGGGCCTTGTTTCAAAGGCGGGCTTCCCTGTATCTGTTTAAGCAGAGAACGCTTTGGAGTCAGAGGAGCTTGGGATTTAGGCAAGTGGGCTGGCTCCAAGTTGGAGGAGGTGTAGGAAGAGTAGGCATGCTGTCCCGGGAGCTCAGAGGCGCCCCTCCCCACTTTCCGGGGCTTCTGGGGAGCGCACGGAGCCCAGAGCTCTGGGTGATGGAAGTGGAGGGAAGTTCCCTGTAGGCCCAGACCTGCCTGCCTGGTGTCAGGCCCATGGTAACAAGGAATGTGCATTCTGACCTCCCTGAGGCCATAGCCTGGGAGCTGCTAAGTATCTGCTCCCTACGGAGGACAGCTGGGCCCTAAGAGCTCCCTCATCTGAGGGCCTGCGCCCACACATCCTTTCACATGCCTCTCGTTACTCTTTCTGCAAGTCGCCTTGGAACTTCAGTTATGAAACTCTTTATTAAACTCTCAGGGGTGGAATCCAATTTTAGAATCACAATATACTGAATTCTGCCCGGATGAATTCTGCCAATGAAAAATGGTGCTCCATTTAGGCTAGCCTGGTTTAAACATTAAGTTAAAAAATATATTATGTTGTAACAAATGTACCATGATAATGAAGGATGTTAATAATTGGGCAAACTGGGTGTGGGGTACATTCTCTACTATCTTTACAATTTTTCTGTAAATCTAAAATTGTTCTAAAATGAAAGTCTCATTTTTTTTAAAAGTCCAGGAAAAAAGTGGTTTTTACTACTCTTATGTTTTGAAGAGGAAGCTAAATTTAATTTGTAAAGAACCAGTTCACCAAGTTATTTTGTGTCTCAGACTTGTCTTAAGTATGTTTGCAAACTATTCATAAAACATGATCAGAAGTTCTATGCTACAATGATATGTCATATATATATATATATATTTGACCCTTGAGCAACGCAGGGGCTAGGGTCACCGACCCCCACGTATTCAAAAATTAACGTATAACATTTGATTCCCCCAAAACTTCACTACTAATAGCCCACTGTTAACCAAAAGCCTTACCAATAAAATAAACAGTCGATTAACACATAGTTTATGTTATATGTATTACCTGTTCTACTCTTACAATAAAGTAATTGAGAGAAAAGAGAATATTATTAAGGAAATCATTAGGAAGAGAAAATACATTTACAGCATTTACCGAAAACATCCACATAGAGGTAGGTGGACCTGCGCAGTTCAAACCCGTATTGTTCAAGGGTCAGCTGTATATGCAAATTTTAAATTGCAAACCTTTTTGTCACTGCTATGAAAGGGAAGCATTTGAAGATAGTTTGCTTACCCAAAGAATATACTTGCCAAGAAAGCAAGGGATACCTAAAAGATTTTCATAGTTCTTATCAAATTTGTTCTTGTACCTAAGGATTTAGAATGAGCTGTTTTTATATGGGGATTGGCGGGGAGGGTCACTTTACTAGCAACATTTTAGATAAATGACAGAGACTATTTTGAATTAATGACAAGAAACCACAGGTAAGATATACTAGAACAAAGAGTATCTAAGTGGATGTGAAAAGTTGGAATAGGACTAGATACACAGCCAGAAAGAGCTGCAAAGTGGGTGAAAGTCGGTTAAGTGATAAAATAAAGCACCCTAATGAATGAAAAGGTATTAGTGGGTTTACTTGTCATACCTTCTAGATAAGACCTTCAGAAGAGGCTTCTTCTCCTTCCTCCCCACCCCCCACCCCCACCCCTTCAAGAAACTTAACAAGGATAATGCAAATGATCAGGACTGCAGACTGGGGACAGATTGAGGGGAGGGGTGTTTGGGGGCAAGCGCGCTTGAGGCCCCATCACGCCCGTGTGCTCCTGTGTTCTGACAGTCAAGGCTGGTTAGTAATAACAGGACCTGACAGACAGCCTCCATGATGCTTCCTCACCATTTGTGGGAAGCCTACGTGAGGCAGTTTGCAGGGTTTTGCAAGCTCCAAGGCCAGAAGCTGTGTGCTTGCTGGAAGCTTGTTTGGAATGCGCCCTTGGGCTGGATGGGTGAGGCCAGGGCTGGGTGTCCAGGGACTGCCTTTCAGCAAAGGGTGTAGGGTGTCTAATCTCGCAGTACACTTGAACACCACTTGCCTTTTTTCACATCTCGGGGTTCTGCTTCGTGCACAGAACCAGCCCCCTGTCCTGAGGCTGATTCCAAGGCCACCCCCGATCCCCGGTGGAGTGGCTCTTGCAGGGTCCACCAGAGCTTCCTTGGCTTCGGATTCTGAAAGGACAGCTTTCTTGAACTGTGGCCGACATTTCAGGTGTCACTCAAGGTATATTGGTCAGTACTTGGAAATCCTTCTATGAAAGATGCTGGGTGAAGTCCAGACACCAGTTGTCCAGTGAGAAGTAGGCGCCGTGTCTGCCCTAAGCTAATTCCTTTGCAGAGGAAGGAGTTGGGTCTCTGAGTGTTTTTCAGGTATCTACTTGCCTTTAACCAATGGCAGTGATCTCCGATGAACCTCTCCAGTAAGGAAAGACAAGGCCCCAGGTTTACATGGCTTAGATTTCTGGTATCTGCTGCCATTTGTCAATATAAGAGCCTCTGCCCCAATTGGGACCACATCCGATTAAAAGGCAATGTCCCTTCGTGCCAAGAGCAACTACTCATCAGCCTGCATCTTTGCCTGATGACCCCGGTCTGGGGGCACAGTTGTGTTGTGGTGGGAGCGGGATTGGTCTCCTTTGTGGTTTTATCATGAGGCCATGTTCCATCCATCAGGGCTCCATGCTGCGTGCTTTTTGGCTCCAAAAGGCACTGTTTGAAAGGAAGGGAGGGGAGAGGCAGCCATTCTAAGGGGCTCATTGTGTATGTTCCAGGCTCTCCCCTGCAGGCCTCCGCCGATGACGGATCTGAGGAACCAGGCTCTGAAACCTCTGATACTAAGCGCACTCCGACGGCCGAAGGTGGGGCCTCCTTCCTCTCACTGCTTCGTTCACAGCCCCTTCCACACGCCAGCCTGGGCGTAGCCATGCTTGGAGCCTGTGTGGGCCGCCCTTCCTGGCTGCATTCGCTGCTGCCTCTCCCTCTGGCTGAGAGATATGCTCGCTCAACGCTTTGCAGGACAGGGCTCAGGAATGTGGCGGGAGCCAAGCCCTGCTTTGATGCCTTGCTCACTAGTGCCAAGTACAGGCGCCTTCATCATGTGTGTTCTTCGAGGCAGCCACACTTGGAGAGGCTGAGATCTGTGGCAAAGCAGGGCCCAAGCACAGCACCACAGAGCCCCTGCTCCATGTCAGTTGTCCTTCCCCAACTTCAGAAGCCCTCCCCAACCTCACTCTTTCATGAGCCACGAGGCCCCAGAGCAGCCGTGGGGCTGAGGAAAGGGGTAGGTCAGGGCTCCAAGCTCACACTTTGGGACTGGTCTTGGTTTACTGTCCTTCATTTCTGGGGCACTGGGCTTGGCCTGGGCCCCTGGAAATTGGCCACGGTGTTAGTTCCAGCCCATCTTCCAACCTGTTCTCATGTATTTCCTGAACTGCTCTTTGCTCCTGGTTTTGACGACCTTCTCTCACTTCCCATCTCTGTCAGTCGGGCCTGCATTTGATTGCAGGTCATGGAAAACCTAACTAACCGTGGCATATATGAGAAGAGGTTTATTTGTCTTCTATAATAAGATGCCTGGACTTGGGCAGCAGGTCCCCAGTGTCATCAATGCTCTTCTGTCTTTATCTTCTTCCACCCTTAATGGATGGATTGTTGCCTCCTGGTTACAAGATGGCTGCCGCACTTCTAGGCAGGTAGCAAAGTGGCCAAAGGGGGCCGGAAATCAAGGGTGTTCCCTTTTCATTAGGAAAGCAAGGGTTGTTCTGCAAGCCCCACCTGCTCAACTTCCACGTATGTCTCTCATTTGCCAGAACTGGGTTTCATGACCACCCCTGGCTGTAAGGGAGGCTGGGACATTGGGCATGTTGCTTTCCAACCTCTTTGGTAGGAGAAATCAAGGGAGAAGGGAATTGAGAATGGCTTTTGAGTAACCATAGTATCTGTCCCTCCATCTCTTCATCCTCCCCAGGGAGGCTCAAGGTTCTGTTCTCAGCACTTCTCTGGGCCACACCCATTACTTTGGCTGCTGGTGTCACAGGACGAGGGCCTCGCCCCAGCATCTCCCCAAGTGTCCACCTTTGTTTGAATTCAGAAAGGGGCTATCAAGCTCCTACCAGTTGCTTAGTATGGGGGTGCATCTGTGGAGGCTATAGCGGGCATGGCCCTTCACCCCACCCCAGGTTCTCAGCCTAGAGAAGAGAACACCAGGCCAAATGCTCTTTGCTCTCCTTAGAGCCAGTGACACAACATATGATCCTGCTGATCTCGTTAGGACAGTTTTGCGAGATGCATACCTCCCTGAGACAGCCCTGAAACACTAACACCAGATTCCATGCCAGCCTTCCAAATCATGGTTTTCAGCACTCTATCAGCATTATTCTGGAAGACTCTTCCAACCAAATGCTCTGGACCCTGTACATGTGTAGGCCCCAAGAACTTCAGCTCCCACCCCACAGGGGAGGGGGCTGTGCTGGAGCCAGGCTCTGCTGGGCCGCCCTGCCTGTCCTCGAGGCCATAATTAAAATGGACTCCATCTGAGTAAAATGACTCAGGCTCTTGGAAAGCTTTCAACGCTGACAACTCCCTATGTTTGCCCCGAGTGGCCCAGGAGGGAGCCAGGCCATTGCTCGGCGAGGAAGGCTAGTTTGGAAGAGCTCACCTTGACGAGAGTTCGAGAACACCTTGACTAGAGCTCCTGGAGATGAACCTTCACCTCCTGCCTCTGCTCAGAAGGTTAACCCATCTGGGCTTCTTGTCACCCATCCGACACTGGACCAGACCAACCCTGTTCATTGCTACCCAGAGGGCTCTGTGCTTCTTGACCATGGGTCATGGGCTCAGGGGGACAGGATGTAAGAGCTGGAGGAAACCTTGGAGGTCACCTGGAGATGACACTCCCGTTGTGCAGATGAGGAAACTGAGGCCCAAAGAAGACAGAAGACTTGCCCAGAGTCTCACAGCAAAGCTGTAGTTCCTGACTTTACGCCAGAGTCCTGCACTGCCTTAGTCTCAGCTCCATTCTCCTCTCCTCCACCTCCTTAAGGATCAAACACCTGTGAACAGTCACCTGGTTTTCAACATTTCTTCTTTAAAAACACTTGGGACTGTCCCCAGTGGTCTCTTTCACTGCAGTGTTTATGTGGGGGCTGTCCCCAGCTTTCCTGGCAGATGGCCTGGGCGTCTCATGGGTTAGTGCCACTCAAGCAGAATATTAATGTGCTTCCTGGGGAGATGTCAGGAGGGACAGCTCTGGGCCTGCTTTGTGGCGTGACTTTTTTGCATGTGGCTGAGTTCCCTTCTGCCTCCCCACCCTGCACTGCTCCCACACAAGAAGCAAAGTGAGATGCTTGGCATGGCTCATCTCAGCCCCCCAAAGGTGATTTTCGGTGGTTTCTAGACGTGACAGTGCCCTTAGAGGATGAGGGAGCCCCCGGCAAGCAGGTGGTCGCTCAGCCCCACACGGAAATCCCAGAAGGAACCACAGGTGAGGGTGATCCCCGGGCTGGTGTGAAAGGCCCCTGCTGGGTGCCTGGCTGACCTGCTGGAGGAAAGTGTGTGGGGTAACGCTCATCTCCCAAGGAGGCAGGCATGTGGGCGGACAGACGCCGGCTTCTGGGAATCTTGGGTGGCTCCACGCTTGCCGCCTTGATGCCCTGTGGCTCCTGTGGCAGCCTGCCAGCCTCCAAGAGGATAGAGGACACTCTGGTTTCTTCTAGCTTCCCCTCTCCTTATCTCAGTCAAGCTCATCAGCTCCGTCGGGTTCTCTGGGGCAGGCTGCTGGCAGATCCTGCCTTCTGCACCGCTGAACTCAGTCTGCCCCCTGCTCAGACTTTCCGGCCACAGGGTCACCTCGCAGGGGGTGGTGAGCACTGAGTGTGCAGCGGGGCCCAGATAACTGGCCCACACCTTTGGAAGACAGCCTCACTTGGATGACCCCTGAGGAACTCAGCGATATATACTAGCATCCAGCCCCAGGACTGTCTTTTCAAACATATCTGCATAAAACAGGCATGACAAGGCTGTCCCGTCAACACGGATGATGGGGAATAGCTCAGACATCTAGGCACCGACCAGAAATAGCCCTGGATTCGGGGCCATCAGAGTCACCGAGAACTGCTCGGGCCCTGGGGAAATGGCTAGCACAGCGCTGTCATTTCCTGCACGTCCCTTCACTGGGCTTAGGTAAAGAGCTCCAGCCGTTGGCTTGTTGGTCGGAGGGTGCTCAACAAGAATTGCAGAAGAGCTCTGGACAGGAGTTCACCAACAATGGAGAGCGGGGGAGAGGTCCCCAGGCAGGGGTGGCTTTCCTTCCTAAAGACGGTGCTCACAGCAGCCTCATGGGAAGCCCGCTGCCTTTCTGGGGGCTCCATGTGCTGAGAATACTCATGCAGGGACCAGGTAGCACCACCCAACCCCTTCAAAGCAGTTTCGGCTTTGCAAGTTGGTCTTCCAAAATGGGGAGAGAGGGATGTTCTTGAAGCCAGCAGTCCGTCCTTGACAGTGAAGGTCGTTTGAAGGGCGAAGAATGACTCATGGGATGAGATCATAGGTCACTTGGTTTTTGTCTCCCACTGTCCCTTTACAATTTATCTGGTGTGTGTGTGGGGGGGCGGGGATGAGGTGGGAGGGGGAAGGCGCTCTTCCCCTGCCCCAGATGAAAACTCTAGCCAACTTTTGATTACTCCTGGGTAGTCAAAAGGACTTTTGTCTCCTTAGTCACAAAACAGTCTGCAAATGCTAATTAGAATGTCCACTCCATGTAAAGGTCAAAGCTCTGCAGGAATGCAGCTTCCGGGGCTGGGGAGGAGGGGTGTGGCAGGCACGTTTTATTGGATCGGCACTGCTGTGAGCTGGCTCCATACTCTCTGCACCGTTTTCCTATGGCGACCTTTTTTGAATTCTTCCAGACGCCCATCATCCCAGTTAATGCCCCGGAAGGTCCTTCCCTCTGCACTTGATTCAGGCAGACATTTTCTGTCTCCTCAGCCCCTTGGGGTCTGAAGATGTGCCTCCAGGCCTCACCTCTGTTGAGGTCGGCTTGCTCCTGTTGGTGGGCTGCTGGACATAGTCTAAAGCGTCCCACACTGTCGCTGCCTTGTGCCCATATCAGGCCTGTGGGAAACACACAGACATTGTTTGCCCCAACAAATTTGGGGAAGCAAACTGATGGCAGGACCAGGACCACCGCCATGCTTCTTTGCTCCCCCGCCAAAGCAGGTCCAGCCCATCTCTCCTTCCCAGGCGGGGTTCTGACAGCAGTCCGCCATGTTGCCCCGCAAAAGGCACACGCCAAGTGTCTCCAAGTGCTCCCTTGAAACTCTTTCACTGGGGCTGAGATGGCAGATGGCTACATGGCGAACCCCCAAAGCTGTTCTCTCCAAAGAGATCCTCATCAAAAACACTCCCCTTTCCATCCTCTCCGCCCTTTACCTCCTCAATGAGGTAGGAGGTTTTAGACTTGGGGGACATTTTATCAGCTGTTGACTTTGACAATAGGTACCTTAGTTTAGCACCTCACTTTGCCACGCCCCATTTGCTGCATCTTGGTGTTCCAGTGAAAGTTCTCATTTGAGGTCCATTTGAGGGTGCAGTGTGGCTACCCCACTGCAGGAATCCCTGCCATGATGGGATGGGAGCCCCTGCCTTTTGGGGCTTCAGGGATATAGAGAGGCCATATCGTGATGTGATGGCCCAGCCACTGTCACACACACTCCCTCCCTCCCTCCCTCCCTCCCTCCCTTTCGCTCCTCTGAGCGCCTCCCTTGCTGGTATAGGGGGTCATCAGAGTTACTGGCAGTCTCCAGTTTTTGACTTGCACCAGGGCTGGATATCACAGCTCTGCACTGGCATGTGAAAGCTGCCAACTTCCCAGTGCCACTGCGGTGACATCATCCTGGCGTGCCTCCTCATGTTCTGTCTCCAGGACTCGGTGCCATTTAGCTGGACTTGCTGTCACTCTGAGCTTTCCTTCCATAACCTCGTCAGACACTCGGAATCTGTGCTCAGAGTTGGGCCTCCTGGACAGTTGGCTGTTGTCAAATAACATGGAGTTGTCACCATTGGACCCCATGGGCAGCACAGCGTCTGCTTGCGGGGCCCCAGAGGGTGGTCATGCCTACGAGCTGGCAGATGGGGAGCTTCCTGAGCCCACCTCCGGCCCCCTCCCACTCTCACCACAGCTGCCCTGGGACAGCCAATGGGCTAGGTGTTTATCAGGCCATCATGTAGCTGTCCAGGGACCCAGGGAGCCCCTCTTTTCCCTCTTCCATGCTCTCCGTGGTGGGCCTTTGCTGGCTAACGATGGTAACTTGGCGTTTCTGTTTTAGGTGTAGGGACTGAGTCATCGCAGGTCTGGGGAAAAAGACTGGTGGCCCAGCCAACAACTTGTAGGCATTTGTCAGGGGTGGTGGCCTCTCTGTCACTGTCCACCAGGGCACGTTGGTTCTTCCAGGGCTGTGAGACCAGTGCCTGTGCATTCGTGGCCAGCTGGCCTTAGAAACTCCTCTTTCTGGACAGTTGTATCCACTGTTGTGTAGCAATACCCTGACTTTCCACGATGCTGAGACTGGCATTGTATTGAGGCTTATTGATTCCCACGCTATTGACGATGGGTCAGGAACTTTTCTCAGTCTTCTTTGTTTGGGGTGAGCTGTGACTCCCTAAGCAGGAGCCCAAGATACCCCAACAGCTGCTCACTGGCACTGCTGGCCTCCCTCTAACCAAGTAGCACCTATTTGGGGCATGCAGCTAAAGGCTTTGCCCCATAGTTTGGAGAAAAGAAACCGAACATCTCTGGAGTACCCACCATATGCCAGGTGCTTTGCTAAACACATGCACACAAATCCTTATATTAATCTTTATCACCCTCCTACAAGATGAATGAGTATGGTCACCTTGGGGCTCTAGATGAGGAAAGGGAGGCTCAGAGAGGTCAAATAAATAATAGCACCAGGGCGTGAATGCCCACCTGGCTCCACAGCCCATGCCTAATCCTTCCCTCACCTCCAACCCCCCAGCCTTGTCCCCCAGAGCCCTGGCTGGGGTTGAGTGCAGCCACCACTCACCACTCGGACACAGGCCCCGTGGCAGTGACTGAGACGCAAATTGCTCCTCTGACCTCACCTGTCCCCGTGTCTTTGTTGAGTGGGGCGCTCAGGTCCCTGGGCCCACTGCGGGGAAGGTCTTTCCTACTGAATCGTGGTCACCTGTAAGGTGTGTGGGTGTGTGGGGTTTGCATAGTGAACTGTTTTCATCAATATCCCCAGCAATAACATTTGCAGAGAGCCAGATAGTACTCGTAAGATGTGCCTTTTTTGGAATGTTTTCAGAAAAATACCAGCAGATGCAGAGAGCTTTGTTTCTCGCACACACTAACTGTCTTTGCTTTTATGTCCTTCATTTGCTGTCAACCAGCTGAAGAAGCAGGCATTGGAGACACCCCCAACCTGGAAGACCAAGCTGCTGGACATGTGACTCAAGGTGAGTGGCTAGAATTGCCTTCCAAGGCTTGGGGGCTGGGAAGAGGGAGATGGCGACACTCAGATGGACTCTACCTTGAAAAGAGAATTCATGGGTCTGGAAGAGTTTTAGGAGGTGGTACATATCAAAGATGGGCTTTTCAGATATAGAAAAGGCTCCAGCGTTTTGTTTTGTTTTTTTCTCCTAACACTATTTCTGAGTCATTCCTAAGGTGTTTAGTGTTCTGAGAGAAGCTGGCCTTGTCCAGCCTGGGGAGCTGAGAAGGAATGTCCAACAGAAATGCAAAGATGGCTGTTCTCCCTGCAGGCTGCCCTCGGGCCTGTCCTGGGAGCAAGGCCTCAACCATATTGCTTCTGTGCAACCGTGAAACTTTATTCTGATTTTCTTCTCAGGGACCAAAACTGCTGTGTTCAAGAAAAGAAACTCGGTTTAATCACTTAGCATAATCGCTTTAAGAACTTCATTTTTTTTAAATCCTAGAGATTCCGTATCTTAGGAAATGGAGACCTCGGATACAACGTGGGCTGGGTTTCTTTTCTATTTACTGTGTAAATGAGCTTCAGAGTCGGCTGTGTAGTGTGGAAGCTTCTAGTTGGCAAAAGAGCTGGGAAGACACCATTCTTGTCTTCAGAAAGTGATATGAGATTTGTGCAATGTTGAGTATTGCCCGTGGGGCCGTCTGGTATTAGGAAGACTGTTTTTGAAGAAGCGTCGCATTAACAGTATTTTGAGGTCTAACTACACGTTCCTGCCCCCAGAGGGATCACTGCCCCCTAGTGGGCTAGTGCCTCTCATCCCACATGGCACAGAAAGGCGTGTTTTCATTCTTGAGCTTACAAAGAGTGTCAAAAAATATTAGAGGGGATAATCAAATAATTAAAGGGAACCTCTGTCTGTGTGTTAAATAACTGGAATCTTGGCTCCTGTTTCTTTTAGGTCATTATTTTTCGGTTTAGGTAAAATTAGAGGCTTTTATAACCTCTGAAATGATCATTTATTTCCATTAAGAGATGTGAATTTGAGTTTTTTTCTACACATTGTTATTGCAGGCTGTGTCTGTACGCACGCCCCTAAAACATATTCCATGCAGTGAAAAGGCCAGGTTAGCATCTTTCCTGGAAACTTGACTATTGTGCTGGCTGAATTTTTACATTTTTCTGACGAATCACATAGATACAAGAGATGAACACCAGGTAACATCTGCAAAGGGAACTCGGCCCCCGATCTGTGCATATGTGGAGGTTTCTGCCTCTGCTCCCAAGGCCAATATTTAATGCCTTGACCGGGCTGCTGGTCAGCATTGCCAAGCCTGGCGCCCTCCAGTGAAACCCCGTGAAATTCCAACACACTGGTGATCCACAAACACACTTTATTTGCCAAAAGCCTGCCGTCTGTTTTGTACTAAAACTCTCAGATTAGTAAGAGCCATGTAAACAAAAGCACGTTTATTCGATCCCTCCCTTGCTCTTTCCTGTGGCAGAAGGAAAACCCCTGGTAGCCCATGCTCATGAGGTACTCAGATTGAGAACGCTGTTTCAGGATGGGGCTGCAGTATGCTGAGAGATGTGGGAAGGCCTTCCCCTACCCCGCTCCCCTCAAGGGATGGTCCTGTCTTTCCTAAATGTCACGAGGACCAGGCCTCCTGAGGGGCATGGGGGACAATGTATGTGGACTCCTGAAGCAATCACACTGCTTACCCAGATACTGTTTACCTTGGAACCCCCACCCCTGGTGATTGCTGTGGTTAATATTGACCGAGCACTTCACAGTTTCCTGGGATCTGAATAGAATATTCTCGCAGCCTGGTTCCTTCCTCCAGGAGTGTAGTTATGTTAGGTTCCTTATCGATCAACACACACACACACACACACACACACACACTGTACAATCATGTATTGATGGCTTTTCAAGGTATGTTTACTATTCATGTTTGGGGCCCTTGTCTCTTTTTTGATGAGGGTCTTTTTAAAGTCTTGCATACATCAGAGTACAGTGATATCCTGACCCAGGGCAATTTCTAGGAAGCTCTGGGAGAAAAGCTTTGTCTGCAAGGTGATGGAGACCTGGCCTGTCGGGGGGTGTAAGGACCAGCAGCCACTGCCGCCTCTGGCCTGTTGAGCTGGTTGGTAGATAGGAAGTCGTGGCAGTGAGGCACCTGCTCAGGTGGTCCCCTGCCGACCTTTCTTCCTGGGGCAGTTCTTCCTGGACACTGACCAGGGGCCCCAGTAAATGCCAGTAGACCCCGAGGAAGGCAGAAATCAGCATGTTTTCCTGACACCAGTTCACCCGTACAGGATCCATTTATTAATCACCTGCTGTGTGCAGGCATAGTGGTCGATGCTAGGAACACGAAATGAATGAGATTGTGAGCTCAAGGCCCCGAGTATGGGTGGGAGGTGAAGGTGACCCATGGCCAGGCCTCTTGGCAGTAAGTCAACGGGCAGCTGCACAGCCTCCGACTGGGCTGGGGAGAGAGCGACAGTCACATGTTACCCCTGTGCGCCCACAGCTGCACACGTGTGTACACACATGCGTTATTTCACCTCCCTCCCCTCCCCTCACCCCATCTCTTTCTCTTCCAAGTCCCTGAATCCTTTGGGTTCTAGGTTTTGTTTAGAGAGGAGCTGGAGAGTTGTGTGGGTTATTCTGTTGGGAACAGGCAGGATTGTCAAAGGGTTGGGAGTTAAAAAATATATAATGTTTATTAAGAGGAAAGAGCATCACTCTCCTGTCCTTAATACACAGTCAGATACTTTAAAGGTTCACATGAATGTAGCGTGAATGAACCAGAAAAAAAACAGGGTGTGCCCTCCATCAATTGGGTTGTTATGTGACCCGGAGAAAACAGTGGTCCCCGCAAGCTGGCGACTGCAGCATGGAGCCCCTTACATCCACGGTGGTCCGTCTCACCTCCTGTAAGAGGCCTGTTCGTGATCCACGACCCCGATAAATCTGAATCATGTTTCTGTTTATAGGAATCTTACGACAGGTGTGTTAGGAAAGATCAGAGCCCTGAGGATGATAAATTTTGCATTTTCCAGTATCTATCAGAGCATGGGCTTGAAGCAGGGTTGGTTCGTGGGCCCCTGCTGGTTTCATTTGGCAAAACGGGGGAACAGAGCGAGAGGGAGGAAAGGGGAGACTCATTGCACCCAAGCCAGGTCCCAGCTAAAGGCTAGACACTTCAGGGCACTCGAGTCCCTGCAGAGTTGGAGAAGCTTCTGTGGAGCGAGCACAGGCAGCCCCTCGGCGGGGCCAGCAGCCCTGGATGCGGGAATAAGGCCACATTAGATGAGGCCTTGGTGGTCACCAGGTCCAAGATGAGAAAACCAAGGCGCACAGAGGGGAAGTGCTCATGCTGGGTCACCCAGCGAGTTGGTGGCAGGTAGACCAAGAGAGCATCGTTCTGAGCAAACAAAAGCAGCGAGGGTGAGCCCAGAGCGGGCCCTCCTTTTTCTTCGTTAGGCAGACTTGCGATGCCATCTAAATGTCCTTTTCTTATTTGAAGAGTGTGTTCCCTCCCTTAAACAATCAATGCGCCCTTGCTAACTTTTTGCCACCGCTGCCTGTTCAAACCCAGAGGAGTTGCGAGTTCCTGGCCAGCAGAGGGAGGTGCCAGAGAGGCCCCTGGCCTATGGGCTTAGCTCTCAGGTCCAGCCTGGATACAGTGGAGAAGCTTCTGGTGTCTCTGTGCCGCCTCTGGGGGAGAAGCAGCTAGAAGCTCCCATCCTGGCGATGTCTGACCATTCCCAGCACCATCCCATCTACCAACCGCCTCCTCCAACAGGAGGCCCTCAGGAGTGGGGATGGAAACAAGGGGACGGGGTCGAGGAAGATTTGGCTTTTCCGAAGCCCGCTCCCTCGGGATATCAGCAGACAGAGCCTGGGCATGTCAAGGTTGTCCAGGAAAGCTTCCTCAGAGAGCCGGGGCACCGTGGAGGTGCGGCCACGGACCCACAGACCCTGGATCTGACCCGCCAGCACATGTCTGACATACCTGGGGCTCCCATCCTGCCTGAAGGCCCCAGAGAAGCCACATGCCAGCCTTCCGGGACAGAACCTAAAGACACCAAGGGAAGTCACCTTAGCCTGGGTCTGCTGGAGCGCCCGCTCTTAGGAGACCTGCGCCTGGAGGGGCCACCTCTGAAGGGGGACCAGGGCAAAGAGAGGCTGGGAGGCGAAGAGGTCGATGAAGACCGCGACATCGACGAGTCCTCACCCCAGGACTCCCCTCCCTCCCAGGTCTCCCTAAGTCTGCAGAGCCCCCCAACCCAAGATGGGCCATCCCCCCAGACAGTTTCCAGAGAGGCCTCTGGCACCCCCGCTTTCCCAGCTGAGGATGCCATTCTCCCTGCTGATTCCCTCTCCAAAGTTTCCGCAGAGCCCCAGGCCTCAGGGCCCGCAGCGGAAGGGCACGATGAGCCCCCCGAGTTCACGTTCCACGTGGAAATCAAAGCCAATGTGCAGAAGGAACAGGGACGTTCAGAGGTGGATTTGGAAGGGGCTGCACTTCCGGGGGCCCCTGGAAAGGAGCAGGAGCCCCAGGGCCCCTCTGAGGAGGAGGACACAGAAACGACTGACCTTCCAGAACCATCTGGAAAGCAGCCTGCAGCTGGTCTTCCGGGGAAGCCCGTCAGCCGGGTCCCTCAACTGAAAGGTCTGTGTCTAGAGCTCCTTCGCTCCTTCCTGATGACTCCGTGTGCCACCCAGGCTGCAGGCACTGCCACGAGCTTCCGGCCCCCCCGACTCCTGCCGCTTCCAAGGTTCCTAGGGATAGCCACTAAACTGACCACCCGGGCCCTGCTGCTCACCCCACACCCCGCGGCCTCCTCCTGTCCCTCAGGCTGTGGTCGCACGTGCTCCTGTCACGCTTGCCGCCATTCTGCATGTCACCAACACCCCACCCACTGCTTTCCACCCTGTTCATCTCTCTGGCCCCTTGGTTTATCCACAAAGGTCCATCAGCCCACGGAAGTTGATGGGCCACACTCTGGAGGAGGTAACAGCTGCTTCCTCTTTTGAGAGCTTTTTGTGCCTTTAACTTCTAGAATTTAATTGTCTAGAACCCTCCCAAACCTCCCAAGTGGGCGTAATTAGCCCCACTTTGCAGATAGGAAACTGAGGCTCAGAGAGGTAATTTGCTGTAGGTCACCGAGTCATAAATGACTGAGCCAGGTTCCAAATCCAGGAAGGTCTGTTCTGAAAGGACGCCTTTCCACCACAGGCCTCCCAGAAGGTTCTGAAGTGTGTGCTCCTAGCCCAGAGACACAGAGGGTATGAGCCTGTCTTCTGCTGCTCTTGTGGGTGGACAGCAGGTCACATGCAGTAGGTGACAACACACACAAGCATTTGGAGGTGGCCAAGAGCCCACGCTGAGCCTTTGGCCCAGCAACCCCCACCCCGCCCACCTTATGGCAGGAGAGACAACGAGCAGAAACAAAAGCTTCCTGTTCCAAGCACCTTTCTCCCCTGGCAGAGCCTGTGCTGGGATTGTAGGGCCTCAGCCCCGGCCCTCTCTTAAACCCTGGGAGGCAGGACCACAGCAGCCCTTCGGGGGCTGTGAAGGTGGGAGGAAGGGGAAGTTCCCAAGTGTCAGGGTCCCTGTGTCCTGTCAGGGAGAGGGCAGTTTATATCCCAGAGGAGGCCTCATGAGCACAGGTCAGGCGTATTCATCCATTTAGGACCCTGAGCATTTTAGAATTATTTTCAGGGCTCAGGAATTGATGCTACTTAAGCTGTCAATTGCAAACATCTGTTCAATTTTGATTAGATCCTAGTTGTCAGGAAAACTTGGAAATGTTACAGATAAAGGAATCTGTATTTACATTTTAAGACAGAAAAAAAAATCCAATATCCTATTTTAAAGTAGCCTAAATTCCAACGCAATAGGGGACAGATAACTGGTTTCACAGATTACAACACTGTTTCTTGAAGTGGTGTTATACTGAATCCTTGTCCACTGGGTGTTCCAAGGAAAAAAAGAGTTTCATGATCCAGTAAGTTTGGAAAAAACACGCTGAACAATGTTAAATAGGGTTTGTTGCTGCGGGACTTGTCAGGGCCTTTAATAGTCTAATGACTATTGTGACCCCCTGAGAAGGACCCATAGTACGAATTTCCCAGCGTTATTTGATCCCACCTGCTAACATCTTCAGGAAGGGGGCCTGTTCAGTAGTACCCCAATTTGGGAAATGCTGGCCCAGCAGTTGGTTTGGTTGTGACATGCGTGATGATGGCTGATTTGGGCAAAGGATGTGAATCTGGCCCACTTGGGGCACTCCTTAAATGCAGATTCCTGGGCCCCACCTTAGGCTTACAGTCTCAGGATGGGCTCAGGAATCTTATTTTAACTATCTCTCCTGGTGATTCTGCTGCACACTGAAGTTTACAAACCTCTGGGCAGATCATCAATGCTGGTCACCCTAGAAGTCCAGGCTCTAGTAGCTAATGAGAAGCTCCCAGGGGCCTCATCATCCTTGGGGCAGTGGGAACATGTGATTGAAACCAAAGACAAATCTATGTTCAGTCTTCAACAATGAATGTTAATAGAAGGAAAGGGTGAGTTAGAGGTGACGCTAGTAGATAAGTACAACGGTTTCACCAGGGGGTGTGGCTTTCTAAACACAAAAGCTGTCAAAGGTTTGGTCCTCAAATCCAGAAGTTACCTGTAGGATGTTTGAGGGTAACTAGGTTGTAGCTAATTTGGGGAAATGGCAAGGATTAGCCACTTAGAAGGGCCTTAGGTGTGAGAAGACCTTCCAGGGCTGGGTCAGGGGTGGAGGGGGCTAGGACAGACAGCAGCTGGGGCTGGTGCCTGAAGCCCCCATTAGTGAGGGGCAGGCTCTGGGAAGACAGCTCACTCACCCTGACCTTTGGGTGACAGCAAGAGCAAGGGGTCCTGCAGGGGGCCAGAGTCTGGCTGAGTTGTCCATCTGTGGTCCTGGGGCTTTTAAATGCCCCTCCTTGGAGAGGGCTTCGCCTACGCTGGGGGAAGCAGACCCTGGCAGAGACAGGGAGGGAGCCTGTGGGAGGTGGGGCCTGCACTGTCTTCCTTCCCTGACCGTCGCCCGGTGCCAACGTGCCTGGAACAGTTTCCTCTGCATCCCCTCTGCATGCCCCTACCCTCAGCCAGCCTGCTGCCCCCTCGTCAGGGTGCTCCAAGCAGTGACCCCAGCGTGCTGTGTTGATACTAACAATGAGAGACTAACAGATTCAAGGGAAAAGAAAATCAATGGGTTCCCACCGAGCCCAACTGAACAAAAGACGTTGCACTGGTCCTGAGAAATCGGCCTATCTACATCGGGCTCTTCCCATGAGCTGTGCAAATGGGTGTAACGTACATTCTCATTTTCTATTTTATCAGCTCGCATGGTCAGTAAAAGCAAAGACGGGACTGGAAACGACAAGAAAACCAAGGTAAGCTGACGAAACCATGAAGCCGTCTGTCACTGCCAAGCCTATCGAGAAGCCATGCTTTATATCTGAATTAATTTTTATATTGTATAACATGTTGGGAGCGTTTTGTCACTGAAGTCCAACTGTCATTCAAAGTGCCTTGTGTTTTTATGCAAACTTCTAAATTCCAGCATTTATTCATTTTGGTACTTGTGCCAAGGAAGGGCAGTCAGCAGGTTAATGAACTAATTAATGCTCCTCATTGCAGTTGCTTTAGCATAGTTTCAGTGAGACGTTCACGGTAAATGAAGGCATGTTTGCGTTTTCTGCAATAAAGTTCGAATTTTTCATGTCTGAATACCTTACACAGGTCTAGGCTCAACAAATACGTATATATACACACACACACACACACATATTTAAGGTATATAGAAAATACCATTTACTTAGGAGGATGAAGCAAAGACGTGATCTCCAACCTAAGGTGGAAGGTTCTGGAAAAGCCCTAGAAGAGAGGACCTATGAGGCAGGCCATGAAGGAAATGCAAAGGGGGGTTGGTGAAGTGGGAGTGGAAAAAGCCATTCTGAGGAGTAGGAACAGCACAAGCGAAGACCCGGAAGCGTGTAGTGACCTAGTGCCTTCTAAGAACTCTAAGCAGGTTGGCTGGTTGCTGGGGAGCCTCGGGGACGACTGACGTAGCAGGGAAACCTGACACACACACCTTACATGCTAAGTGGACATGTGTGACGATGGCGCAGTAGACGCCGTCTTGAAATCTTGCCAGGCGGCCGCTTTAGTCAATCTTCAGAAACCAACCCAAGGAACAGTAGCTGAAACAGCTGCTCTCCACCAAAAGTGCCCCCAAACCACACCCATCCTTCTCAGTGCTCCTATTGCTTACTCTCCTCAAGGACTCTACCTCTTGGAAAACGCTCCTATAACTGCGCTGTAGTGTTTCTCCAGGAAAATCCCCCTGTGGCACTAGATGAAGACCTATTTTTCTTAAAGGTACTTAAAATGTCCACTATAAATTCTGCCTGAAAGGTCTGGGCCTTGATCAGCCCTGGAGTCCTGAGGGCATCCCTACGTGCAGACTCTAGCTCTAGGTGTTTGGGGATGTGTTGAGGGCCGCTCCCCAAAGTGCCTGCCCAGTAGGAAGTCAGGGTGTGCCATCACAAGACCGCAGTGAGGGAGTTGAGGGTGCTACAGAGACTTGGGGGCTCTGCGTTAGGTACTTGAAGTGGTACAATAGCAGTTTGCCAATCATGCACATTTAGGGGGATCCCGGCCGCAAGCTTGCACGCATGCATTCGTTCATTCATTCATTCATTCATTCTCACACATGGGTACCTCATCCCTACCCTGGAGTTGTCCACAGCCTCACAGCGAGGGGTCAGATCCATCAGGAACCTTGGCCAGGGGAGGAAGTGCTGCCTCCTGGGCCTGGGGAACGAGGGGTTGCCAGTACCCGCCCCCAGCCTTTCTTCCTTGTCACCAACCCCAGGGCCCCAGCCTGCATCCCTCCCCTCACCAAGGCTGATCACTTCTAGACTTGGCCCCTCGGTTTTACTTCTGAATTGTGGCCCCTTCCCCGCCCAGCCCACCCTCTTCCACCAGGGCCACACATCCTGGTCAAAGTCCCCAGAGGCAGTTAGGACAAACCGCGGGTGTCAGCCGCCATCAAGTGCAGCTGCCTCTGTGAAGCCATCCGGCCCGCTGACTCCTATCCCGTCGGCCGCCTGTCCCGCCCAAGCTGTTTCCTTCATTGGAGCATGTTCCAGAGTAAACATTGGCCAGATTAAGATCCACCAGATCATGTTTCGTTTTACTTGAGACTTTAATCAGAAAGCACGCATGCGCGTAACCTAAGTGGTGTCAGGCAGACTCTTTAAGGCTTAGAACAGGCACTGTCCTGATTTTAGCGCGCGTGATTCTGTCTGCGTGGTGGAAGAGAGCCAAGGGTTAGGGACCAGCCTGAGTGCCTCACCTGAGCTGAGCGAAAAGTGGGGCACGTCTCACCCCTGACACACATCAGAGATGTTTCATTGAGAAACACCCTAGAATCATATTCTTTGGTGATCTCCATCAACTTTTTGGGGCATGAAACACCTGTAAATCAGTGGTCTCCAAAGTGGGGAGCACTTGAAAATCCAGTGGGCCAGAGAAAGAACATTCTAGAACTTCTGCCCATTTTTGTCTTCTCTTTTAAAAGCTATGTCACCTGTAAGTTTTCTAATGAACATCATATAGGGGCTTCATCGTCTATGTGTTAGCTGATAAATAACCAGGAGTGCCAGGGGTGCCTGGTCACTTTCTGTTCTTACCGGTGAGAAGGAATGATAAGGGTACAATGATCCGAACAGTATGGAGATCACTGCTGTGAGCCATTACTTGCCTTGTGTGTTTTTAGTTACTGTCCTTTTTCAGTTTGTTCCCTCCTTCATGTGCTGACTTTTATTTTGATTTTATTTATGTTTATGTTTAAGACATCCACACCTTCCTCCGCTAAAACCCTGCACAATAGGCCTTGCCTTAGCCCCCAACGCCCCACTCCTGGTAGCTCAGACCCTTTGATCAAACCCTCCAGCCCTGCCGTGTGCCCAGAGCCATCTTCCTCTCCTAAACACGTCTCTTCTGTCACACCCCGAACTGGCAGTTCTGGATCAAAGGCGATGAAAGTCAAGGTAAGGAAACCACCTTTGAAAAGGATCAGGCTGCTCTAATGTGGTTTTCAGGTGTATATGGTTTGTGGGTTTTTTAGCCCCAAAGGCCTTTCTGCAGATAAGCTCTTACCTAGAAGCACTATGAAGAACCCTTAAAATTCTGGCTGAGACAGGGATGGGGGCTCAGCGCCATCATCCTGAGCTCCCCTTTGTCCCTCCTAGCAGCAGCCCTAGGCACTTGATGGTACCCCAAACTGCTCCAGTTGGGTTCCTTTGTCTGTTTCCGACTTTGGTAACTGGAGTGCTTCCAGGTTGCCCCCACTTGGGCTGGGCAGCGCCACTAAGCAACAGTGCTTGTCCCTTTAGTTCACTCTTTCCTGAACCATCCTGAGGTCCTTGATTAGCGTCAGGTCATGGTTTTATTTTGTTTTGCTTTGTTTGAGTTCGTGCTATGTATCAAGGTCATCGACTAGATCACCAAACCCAGTAACTTCCCCCCGCATCCCCCCATCTGGCTATGCTTGTGCTCTCACCCTTTGGCTGGTTTGCTAATTGATGCTCACCACCAAGAGCTCTTACTTAGCACATCCACATCCAAGGAGTTACTGAAACCTGAGGGTTGCTTGGGCGAGACCAAAAGGAAGCGGCCTAGCTCTGTTAGCACGCTCCGTCAGGTTCCACAAACAGTGTGGTCGAGAGGCTCTGGCAAAACCAACCACCGTCAGTCAAATAGATCCCTAAGGAGTGTCAGAAAATGGGTGTCCGCGTGGGAATGGCCTACTAATGTCCTGCGTCATCACTGCAAGCTCTGTCGCCTTTTTATAAAATACATGAGCACAACTCATGCTGATAACTCACGTAAACATTTCCTGTAGGAGGAACTGGCAGTCAGGGCACCTGACATTCGGGTGGGGCTGTGGGTTTGTGTGCCCAGCAAACCCATGTGATTGTAGAAGACACTCGTTGCATCTAGCAGGCAAAGGGCCACCCCAATCTTAGCTTCGTGTTGAGTCACGGTGGTTGAGTAGGGCTGACATCGACTCCAGGTGACAGTGACCTTTCCTAATCGTAAAAACCACTCTACCATGCTTTGATTTCTAGGGGGCGGATACTAAAACTGGAACAAAGATTGCCACACCCCGGGGGGCAGCCCCTCCAGGCCAGAAAGGCCCAGCCAATGCCTCCAGGATTCCAGCGAAAACCACCCCTTCCCCAAAGACCCCACCTGGCACAGGTAAGAGTGTTCTCGAATCCAGTCGTCATCTCTGAAGGCCCCTGACAATGAATAACCTCTGGTAGCTAATCGATGCCTGCAGTTTACTAAACACTGGAAAGTGCATTTTCCTTTTAATCTTTTCGACAATTTTCTGAGACAGATGTTGAATCCCCACTTTTTATTGATGAAGAAATCGAGGCTCTGAGAGTTTGCACGACTAAGTCTAACCGGCTTATTTTCAGCATGAGGGAAATGCAGCCACATGCTCACTGGTGGGAGGAAAGGGGCTTCTCTGAGCTTCTCTGACCCCAAATGTACCTCCTGGGAGGTGTTTTTTAGACATGTGGGTGGAGTGCTCGCTCTCTGGAGACAGAGCAGCAGCCTGGATCGGTGACTCTGTGACCTCACACAGGGTGCGGCCTCTGTGCAGCTTGGCCTGCTGGGGATGTGAGAGCCTCTCTGACAACCCGAGGGTCTTAGCGGAGCTGTCGCAAGCTGTGCCTATTCTCCTGGGCTCCTACGAGTAAAACCTAGTTGGTTCTGAGTACCAGGCAAGGCTTCAGGAGAGCGAGTTTGCCATTAGTGGTGCTGTGAAGAGTAGTCGCCCTCTTTGGGGATTGGGAACAGCCAAGCTGAGCTCCCCTCTCCCACTGCAACATGTGCCGGGCAATGAGGTTTCGATTCTGCACAACGAAGGGGCACCTGGCCTGTACGAGATGTGGGGTAGCGCTCAGGGGGCCTGTGGATCCCGTACGGGCTGTGTGCGAGCCGCGGCTGGTTCGGCGGTGCCTCAGCTGCCCGTGGGCCCGAGATGGCAGCTCAGAGTCCTGCGTCTCCTGCATGTTTTGCTGTGACTGTTTGCCATACAGTGGTGCCTGCGAGGACAGCCACTCATTAAGGCCTATTGGTTTGTTTTTCCTGTGGTGTTTTTCTCATGTATATAACACCTATGATGTGGTGTAATGAAAGAACTGTGATTGGATTTTGTATATGCTTTATTTTTTTTTTTTAGCTGTGCCATCCTGCCACTTGTTGGCAGCTCAGCTCGGGGCCGCAAATCGAACCTGCGACCCTGTTGCTCAGAGCTTGCACTCTTGAGTGAGCTCTTAACCAACTGAGCCACTCGGCCGGCCCAGTGTATGCTTGTGATCCTGCTTTTTCTCACCTAACACCATGCCAGTTGGCTCCCACAACTGGAGCCATAACTGGACACAAGAACGTGCATTTCCCTTTGGATCTGGTCTTGGGTGGCAGCCTACAGGTGGACAGATCCCCCTCTGGGCCCTCTTGACCTTGTTTCCTGACAGATGGGGTCCCCTGCTTTCCAAACCCCTTCCCTGCCTCGCTGGCCTCAGCCGTGTGGCCTGGCTGGGCATGTCTGGCTGCCCGCGGCATGGAGAAACATTCATTGAGGCCCCATTTCAGCGTGATGATAATGAGGCTTTCTGTGGATTCTTTTTTTTAAGCTGCCAAGCAATTGCAGAGAAAACCAACCCCTGCAGGAGCAAACTCTGAGAGAGGTAATTCTGTGCCTGCTCCATGCCCAGGGGGTCACCCCCTTTGCGTGTGGCCTAGGTGTCTAGAGATGCTTCTGAGACGTTGGTTTCACGCGTTGAGCCTGAACTGGAACATTCAGAATTCCTGCTCCTCTTGTGTGTGGCTTGTGTGGCTGTGAGTGTCCAGCGGATCTGACTAATCCTGTGTGTTCTCACTGGCGTCTGCTGACAGTGGGGCCGGGAGTGTGTGCCTCAAGGCATCTGTAGGTCCCACAGGTGTGGGCTGTCCCTCCCCGAGGTTTAGATGTGAAATCCCCACAGGTGTTCATTAACTGTGAAGCCTGCGCGCGCCAGCCACTGTGCTGGACGCTTTACCTGTTGCTACACCCAGGCTTCAAAACGCAGCACTGTGGGCTGTGACCACACTCCCCGCTTTTCAGGTGAGGACATAGGCTCAGGGGTCGCTCTGCATTTAAGTGGCATGGAAAGGATCTGAAGCCACCACCACATCTACGCCTGGTGACTGGAGGCCAGGGGGTGGGGGT